AAACTTTATGTTGCTTTTCGCGGATTGCGTTCTTTGGCAAGCGTTTAAAATATTAGCTGGTAATCAACGAATAACAAATATTGTTAAAAATTATGTATATAAAAGAAATTATTATATTATAATATTTTTCTGTTTTTTAAATGTGAAAAAAACAACTTTTGTTAACACTTAACTCAATAATAATGATATAATAATTATTCAGCGAATACTATAAAAATTTTTTACAATATAAATTTTAATAAGAAAATTTCATTTTAATATTAAAAGTTTATTTTAATATTTGGAAAATTTTATATTTTATATAAATTTGTTATAAAGAAAAAAATAATACACAATAATAAAATTCATAATACATAATCAACCATTTGCTTATCAATTTTTATTGTAATAATCATGACACCAAACCCGTTAACACAAGGTACGCTCTCAAAACTCCCCCCGCGAATATCGAGACCGGCACATGTGTGTATAATTATAAACTAAGTGTAATAAAACAAAACTATATGATATGGATCGGATTAAGAAACTTTATAAATAATAAGACACTTTGAGTAGCTTCGCTTATAATATATCAAAGGATAATTGAAATGTTAGTCGACCAAACTTAGCCAGGAAATATGTTTATTAATATGGAAATATATTTGACCATATGATTCGTGGTCCCTTACTTAAAAATATATCAATACTATCTATTAATATATAAAAGAAAGTTATTTAATAATAGTGAGTATATATAAATATATACGAAAAATACTATATATAAAAACAAGGTTTAAAGAATAAACAATTAATATGAGTTGGGTGGGAGTGGAAGTTGAATTTCTCTTATTCTTGATCCTGGTGAAAAAAATATATAATAATAACATTTAATCTTATATAAGTTATATAGATTAAGGGCCCGTAATCTACCACAAAGACTGTGGGGAAGACCCTAAATATCTTCGACAATATACTGTTTTAACAGAAACGGCCAAGTCGGCCTCCTTCGCTTTTCCAACAAAAGTTGTAGGGTTTTAAGAGAAGAATCTATTATACTGGGGGGAATTTATCCAGTATTGACCTTGGATGGCGTCGTCAAGGTAGGTCAGAGTCACATTGACTCTTTTTAAAATTGGGACACCCCTACATTTGATTGCATATTCTTATCTTAATTCCAAGAAAACTTTCAAACACTATAATAAGTTCATTATTTAAAGTACTTTGCGAGTTATGAGGGTTGAATGATTAGAGTAGCCCGGTTTTAAACATATCCAAGGTACTACATGGAGGTTACTTCGCTTCGATTTGCATCTGTTTGTGTGTGTGATCCAGCTAACTATAGGTCAAGATCGGTCGTGTGATCCAGGTCAGCAAAAGCAAAGACCCAACCAAATCAATCGAGCATTGAAAGACTGGAAAGCAATCTGACATTAGTAAAACAGTAAATAAAATTTGGATGCTCATTTATCATAAATATATTGTTCGAAAATGTGTGCGTTGTGCGTGCGTGCGTTGGGCGGTGTATTAAGAGATCAGGGTTAGTTGCAGCCAAGACGAGTTGCAAATGTTGTTTCAATGGTTTAAAGTAAATGCTGACTAGTGGCTGCCATTTACTTCCCTGACAATATGCTAACTTTGGTCAGAATGTTAGAAATGACTTTACGATCGTTTCAAAAGGTATCAAAGCCATTTCGACTTCCCTTATTCGCTGTATCAATTTGCTGTGAATGGTTTTAGGTTTTCTGTAAACCTTATCTTCAGGATATCCGCCATAGGATAATAATCAAAGGAGTTTTAGATCTGGTGACGAGGTGCCAATCCTCGTCCTCCCTCATTCTCCGTCTTCTTCCTAGTCCACCGTAGTTCGGAAAAGTCTTCATGTAAAGATACGAGCGTGGTTCTGCCCACCAAAATGGAGCAGGAGGCTCCATCATTGCTGAAACCATATTTCTTGATTATTTGGAAAAGTATTCTTATGGCTTGGAATTATTTGATCAACAAGTAATCTCTCATACCTTAGAGCGTTCAAATATTCTTAAAAAAAGAAACGGCCCTATAAGTAGCCATCTATATTCCGCACCATACATTTATTTTTGGATGTTGTGTGTGAGTTTCCCGCACCCAATTTGGATTCTCATGCTGACCATAAACGAAAAATTTGATATTTGAACTTCTCCCGTTAAGGTAAAAATTGCCTTCCGTCCTTGTGAAAACAATATTGATAAGGAAATGGGCCGACATCTATTTAGTGCCATCATTCTTTCACAGAAATGTATACGACGCTCCTCATCTCGTTTTGCAATTCTTGAACGTATTGGCAATTATATGGATGGAACGTTGTTTCTTCTTTAAATTCTCCAAAACCGACATGGAGCAAAATATCGTGAGTTTGAGTCGACTTCTCCTGAACACTTAAGAATTGGATCTTCAATAAATGTCTGCAGGAACATTTCAAGTGTTTTGTCTCGTCTGGTTTGCAGACAATGGTCTTCCTGACTTAGAGCGATGTGTCTTACGGGCTACCAGTTTGTCTAAAACGTGCTATTGTTTTAACACAGTGGACTTTTATTTAATTCGACGGTTCGGATACGTGGTGCATAAATAATCGAAACACATCAGAGAACGTCTTTCGTTATCACCCCAGTCCACGATTATGAGGATAGTGATTCTTCACGTTCCGACAAGTCGCCAGCCATTTTTAAGAACGTTTAATTTAATGAACTCGTACGTTGTTATTTGACGATAACAATTAGATTTTCTGCTGGCTGCAAGCTGAAGTTAGAGGTGCTCGTTCTTTGATAGCTTTATACTCTTGTTGAATTTTAAATGCGAATTTAGACTGCATGGTAGGTGCGTCACATAGCCGGGTAAATGAAGAACTTACGAGACTTTCTTACACGTTTGATATGGAGCAAGTGTTTTTGGCAATTTGTACTTCAGGAAATTATGAGGATATGTTGAGGAATCGATCTTGCTTAGTTAGCTGTTCAACCCACAACAGATGCAAATCCCGAGCGAGTAACCTCCATGTAGTGGACAGCTTGGATAATGTTCAATACCGGCGTACTCTATCATTCAACCCTCATAAGCTCGCAAGTACTTAATAAAATGAAACATTATTATAGTGTTTGGAACAGCTCTTAATGAAAGCTATAAGAATTATGCCAATCTAATGAGGGTTCATTTAAAAGGTCAATGTGTGACCTGTTGACCTAACCTTGACGACCCATCAAGGTCAAACTGATAGAATCAGTATATAGATCTTTCTTAAACCTACAAACTTTTGTTGGAAGACACTTTTCTGTAAAAGTATATTTCCGAGATATTAGGGGTTTCCACACTTTTTGTAGACCCTGTAAATTATACATACATATTATATATATTATATCATAATATATATTATATACACAGAGAGGTTGAGTGATAAGACAGATTCCTGAGATTTGGCGAGACGATTTTTCGCTCAATGAAAATGTCGATGATGAAGGCCATTATTTTTTGCATGTTTCACTTTTTTTGTTCATCATATATCTTACATTAAGTTAACATTAAACTCAATTGAGTAAACTCTATTTTAAAATTAATCGAGAATGTGGTTTTAATTAATATTTATTCTTACAAAGGCTTAGTTACGAAAAAAACCCTGTTTTCCAATCCACTTATAATCTCGAAATTATTAGGCTTCGACATTTTACGTTGAGACAAACGTCTTCCAATTATCCCAGACATCTGTCTTTGGAAAGATGATTATGATTTTGGGACACCCTGGTATATGTATGTTGTGTATGTGTACTATATTAATAATAAATTATATTGATATATAATAAATTATTATATAAGTATCAAAATGATGAAGTATTATTAATTGTAAAAGTAAAAAATTATGAGTGAAACTTTAAGAGTTTACACACTCTTCAAAGTTTTTATAAAAAACTAATGGTTTTAATTTAATTATATAATTATAACCTTGATTAGTATTTAATTGAACCTTGAAAAGTACCATCATCTTTATTTCTTTCAAATTTTTAGTTCCAATTTATTTAAAGTTAAGAGTGGCATGTTGCCCTGACGATTTTTTTTATATTTTCTGTATTGTTGACACTAAATATGTGGAATTAACTAAAAATTATAAAAATATTAATAAATAAATATAAACAATAAGAATAAATATATTAAATATAAAATATACAAAATATAAATATTATAAAATAATATAATAATATATATATTATATATGAAAAATATTTTAATAAATTATTTAAAATGAAATATTATTTTAATAAGTAATTACAATTTTGCTAAATTCTTATATATATATGTGTATATATATATATATATATATATGGGGCATTCCACGCCAAATCGGACGGTTTAAAAATTTTTGTTTTTGATTTTCTTAATTTTAGGTATTTTTTAGTACCCCTCAAAAGAGGCTTCCTGGTAACTTTTGAGATTTTTTTGATCACTGGTTCAAAAAATATCGAATTTAAAAAAAACCGCTCTTTTTTTGGCTTTTTGCTCATAACTTTCTTAATAATGGTCGAAATTCAATTTTTTTTTTCAAAATTTTCGTTTTTAGATGGCCTGTACAGAAAAAAATACAAAAAAAATATTTAAAGTGTTTTTAATCGAGATTTTGAATTTTAAGTTTTCAATCGTGTTTTTAAAATTGTGTGTATCCTTCGATTTTCTTGAAAATTTTCTATTTTAAACTTCTCTCCATCCTGCAACTTTTAAGCCCGGTCTGGTAGTGAGCCTTCCATAATTACTATTTTTTTTCGATTTTTAAAAATTAAAAATTTTGAATAGTTAATTACGTATTATATTTATTTTTTATAAGTGAAAATTTATAACTTTTATAAGTAAAAATTTTATATTTTAAAGGTTTGAAAATTAAAAATTTCATTTTTTTAAATTAAAGATCTTAAAATGGCTTTTATTCTTTATATAAATTAATTTTAATAGTATTTAAACAATTATAAGAATAAAATAAGTAAAAATTAAATAGTTTAGTTTATTACCTGTAGTTTGCATGATACCAATAATTTCTACATGATCACCTTTTCTAATATCAAGTAAAGTATAATCATCGTTACTAAAATTTATTACATGAATTTCCAGTTTGAATGTGCCATCAGTTATTGCACCACATCCAATAATTTTGTTCATGTTGTTGTTATATACTTCAGCAAAATTCGTCTTTACGTATCCTCTCAATACTAGAAATATTTGACGAATATATATTAACAAAAATAATAATAATTCCCAGACAGCACAGGACATTCTACGGACATTCATTTTATGTCCATTTTACGTCTGCACGTCCATGGACATAAAATAAACGTCCATTGTACATCCGATTTAAGACATCTGTTAGTAGTCAATATTTGGACGTCCACAAGATGTCCGGTCTTGGAGGTCAAAGTTTCTCGCGAGCACGCAAGCATGTATTAGTTCGTTCGTTTACCGCTACGTGACGTGCGATGCACTATCTTTCTCGTATTTAAGTTTTAGTTATGAGAATTATATAAAGTTTGCAAAAGGTAACAAATAAAATTAAAAATGTATTGTTCAATTTAATTTCTGACCTAAAAGCACGGGTTTCGGATATTAAATTAATTTTATAAGTCGGACAAGTAAATGTCCGGCAAATAAACGAAAATAATTGTTCATTATTTATTTAAGATGTAAAGTGCAATATGCAAGTATAAATTATAAATAAATTTTTTATATAAAATTTTTATGTAAAATTTTATATAAAATAAATTATATTATTATTTAGGGATTGAAATATATATGTTTCGTTTAAAAATTATATGTTTAGATCATAAAGATTGTTTTTTTTTCACACATATAATATACATTTTTTTTTAATTATCTGTTTTATAATAGTTTTGTGCAAAAAAAGTAACATTTAAATAATATGTGATATTGCATTAATGTATATGTGATATAAATTTTCTTTAATAAATGTATTGCTTAAAAAAATATATATTTTATCTTTTTAATGTGTAAATTCAAATTTTGTATGTAATCCCTTTTTCATCTCCTTATTATGTCCATATAAAATCCGTTTTGTATATTTGTTATTGCTAATTTATGTCCAATAATCGTCCATCGGATGTCTTTTGGACACATCAGGGTTTAAATTATGTCCTCCAATTTCATATTCGGATATGCTAAGGATATCCACTGTATATTTGAGGAACATAAAACGGACATTTTATGGATATTTTCAATATCCTTCAAGGATATTTGTAGAATATTTTATGAATATCTGTGTGCTGTCTGGGTTATATATAAAATATATTGTTCTATTTTAAATAAATATAAGAAAATTCTAAAAGATATAAATAATATTTTATATTATATTATCAATAATCCTGTTATTATTTTTTAATAAAATTTTTGATTTTATATATATATACGCCTATATTATATATAGAGTGTCCGAAAAACTGCCCGCAATACTTCGAGAAGTGATTCGGGACCGGAAAAAAAGATAAAAAGCTATATAAATATAAGTCCTGAAAAATAACTCATTTCTTAATTATAATAGTCATCTTTATATTAAAAACATTGTAATTTAATTTTTATAATTATAATAATCATAATTATAGTTTATTTCATAGTATTTTAATATAAATAACTTTATTGTGTGTGTAAGTATGAATATGTATGTGTATGTGCAGTGTATCCAATAATAACTACATTATCTCTCTTGTATATAGAAGAAGTTAAACAGAAAAAAGAAGAATTTTTTATCATTTTATGATTCTTACAACAATTAATGAGAAATTAATTAAGAAAAATTCACCAATTTACGTAAGTATTAGTTCGTGATGAGAAAAGACAGTCCATTATTACTATATAACCGTTGTCATTTATAGAGCGTTTCTTTTAAAATTTTAACAAATGTTTCGCATAATTGTCTTAAATAATAATAGAACATATTATCTATGTTTTAAATCTTTTAATAATTTAAAATCAAATTTGCATGGATCACTTAATATCTGAATCATTTATAACGAATAAATTTTTTTCTGATATCATCTAAATATTAATCATTTTCATTTATTTAATTTTTTAAAACTATATTTTTTAAATAGATTTCAATTATTCAAAATTTAAAAACAACCAAATAATTGAAGTTTATGGAAGAATAAGTAGAATAATTAGTTTAAAAAATAATTTTAAACAATTTAAAATTTGAATGTTTGATATGTAAACGATTGATATAAAAAAAATATTTATTTATTATACTATATTTATTTCAAATTCTAATAACGTATTAATTAAAAAAAGGTATATGGATTAAAAAATTATATGAAAAATATTTATATATTTTTATATTTATATTATAATATTATATTAATAAAAAAAAGAAATTATATAAAGAATACTCACTAATGCGATTTTTTGTAGCATTTAATACATCAGATAATTCAATTGTCTCAGGTGTGGTATCTACTATTTCCATTGGTTCAAATTTTCCAAGATTTGAAATTATTGTATTTGATTTTATTAATAGCTCATACGGCATATTACCATTGTTGAATTGAGGTATTTTTGGCGGACGTGCCTGAGTACCATCCAAATGAATAATCTATTTTATGAAATGTATTTTAATATTAAAAATATAATTATACATATATTTTACATAAATTTTTAAAGAATTACAAGTTATAAATTAAATATTTTATATTTTAATAAAATAATAATATTTAATAAAATAATATAATAATGTGTATAATTATATTAATATAAATATCGATATTAAAAGATTATGAAAAGAATGATAGATAAAATACACACATTATATTTGTTTAAAAGTATAACACTACATATGTAATTTTATTGTAATTATTATGCATATTATTATTAATATAATAATTTTTATAATATATTGTTATGTTATAGATTATGTTATATAATATATTCTTTGTATTATAATATTATTAATATTATAGATTATGTTATATAATATATTCTTTGTATTATATATATTATAAAATAGGATTTTTGGGTCAAAAATTATCAATGAAAAATTACATATTATATACATATTATGTGAAATATGTAATGAATTATATATTATACACACACACACACACACACACACACACACGTGTGTGTGTGTGTGTGTGTGTGTGTGTGTGTGTGAAATATACATGTACAAATGCTATTTACGATAAAGAATAGATATGTTTATTTATATATATCTGTAACGTATTTGTATATATCTCTAACGTAATATATATAATATATAAATATATATATATATATAATATATATAATATATATATTTCATTTGTATATAAATTCACAACTTAAAAAGAATTTTTATTTGTAAGTAATTTGTTTAACACAGAATGATTTATAAGCAAATATTAACTATTATTAAAACCTAATGTGATGTATAATAATATGTAATATACGTAATGTATAATAAAAACGTGAAATAATAATATGTAATGTATAATAAAAATGTAATAAAAAATGTATAATAATACGTAATGTATAATAAAAACAATGTATTGAGAATAAAAGTTAAATATTAAATATCAAGAAAAGAAAAAAATATAGATCTTTCTATTTTTCTCTCTTTTCCTAATGTTTAATATTTGATTCTTATTTCTAATATTTATTTTATATTACACCAATTGTGTCTATAAAATAACAAAAATACTGTTAGCGATAAAAGCATTATCACTGTGTGTATATATTAAATTAATTGTAAGATAGAACGACTTGATTCAAAATCAAATAATGATGATTTAAATATTTCTTTAGACAGTAGATTAAATATAACGACGTATATACATGATCTTCTAGACTATCTTTTTTACATTTTTTTTGACACAAAGAATACGCACATATGAAGATTCATTAATACTTATAAAAATTTATAAAGTTTACATTTTATCGTAAATTGCATATTATATGTGTATACAGTGTATATGTATATATATTTTTTTCCTCTTCTAATAATTTATAAGAATTTTTTAGTAAACATTTTCATTTTAGATACTTATTATAAATAAATAAATATATATATATATATATATATGTATATATATATATATATACATATATATATATATATATATTTATTTATTTATTTATAATAAGTATCTAAAATGAAAATGTTATATATATATATATATATATATATTAATTATTTATTTATTTATATTTATAAAGAATATATTTATAGAAGATGAAAAACAAAAAATATTTCACGGAAACATTAATAAATAAATAAAAATTAAAAATTAAAAATAATAATAATACTTACAGTGTTTACTTTTATATGATGTTCCACAAAATCAATGTCATCATTCCAGGCAACAATTTGAACCCTTTTTCCTTTTCCGTTATTTAAATAAAATTTGAAGAACTTATATTGTTGTTGCGAGCCCACGCAACGTGGAGATTCGATGTTATCAACATAGCCAACAATTTCACTAATATAATTTAATTAATATAATTAATAATATAATTTAATTAATATAATTAATATAATTAATAATAAATTAGAAGGCGCGCACACTTTACACATATTCATATATATATATATATATATATATATAGTATATATATATATATATATATATATATATATATACAAGATGTTTTCGACAACAGGCGGGATAAAGTTTAAGAAATGATTCTACTTGATAAAATAAGACGAAAATCAAGAATAACAAAAATTCAATGAAAGCTTCGTTTTTTTTAATTATAAGTATTTGAAAATTTGTGTGAAAGGTGTCTGAAACATGGTAATCTACAAAATTTTTAGCGAGCATAAGCTATATCGCTCTTAAAATATTATGTAACGCAAAAGTGTACAGTGAATTGCTAAATTCTGGATACTTTTTAAACAAACTTTTAAATATTTATAATTAAAAAATGAAGTCTCTACAGAAATTTTGTTACTTTTGATTTTTGTTTTATTTTATCATGTAGAATCATTCCTTAAATTTTGTCTTACTTATTGTCAAACATCTTTTATATATTCTACAGATCAAAATAATGTAAAATTGTTTTATAAATTTATAAAAAATATTTCAGATAAAAATTAGAGTTTAAAAAAGAGATCTATTTATTGATTTTATTAGTTTAATTTTAAGTCTTCAAAATCAAGGGAAACTTACTTTGAATTTTTTAAATTAAATTCCTTACTTTTATTGCATATTCTTTATACTAATAAAAGTTTTTATAAAATCAAATTTTAATAAAATCAACAGGTTTCTTCGTAATTTATAATTTACTTTGTGAGTACATGTGTTATGTGTATGTGTGTGTGTGTATATATATGTATAAACCGAACAGAATAAACAATTATTTTAATTAATTTTCATTATTCTTTTGTATTTTTTGCATTATTTATGTTACATTGGATATGTGTGTGTGTGTGTGTATGTATATATATATATATATATATATATATATATTTTTTTTTTTTTTTAATTAATATTAAGATTAATTATTAAAATTTTAAAAACAATAAATAATACAAAAAATAATGCAAAAAATGCAAATAATACAAAAAATATAAAAGAATAATGAAAATTAATTAAAATAATTGTTTATTCTATTTTATTTATAATTGTTATTCCTTTTTTTTTTCTTCAATTTTCATAAACTTTTTACTTACACTGTTGAATCATACATTTGTATACTTTCAAGTACATCACTTGGTGTTAATAGTTCCATTGCATTTAAATTGTCAATTTCAATAAGTTTATCAATATGATTTTCAGAGTTTTGAAATATATGATTTGAGTTATGATCTTCCGAATCATCCAAATTATATTGTGACATTTTTAGATTTAATATTGTAAAGATGCAAAATTAATAATTATCCTACAAAATATACAAAGATGAGATATATATATATATATTTCATTAATTATTTTACATGAATCTGTTGTTTGAAATAATAATTTAAAGAAAATATTAAAATAATTATTTTTTTTTACTGAATTAAAAAAGATTTATAATTTTAATGCTTTAAAATAGTGTTTCAAAAATATTTTATAAAAATTTTTAAAAATGTTTTAAAAAATATTATTTCCTGATTACGGGATGAAAATATAAAAAATACAATTTACATATTCTATTCATTCTTCTATATCAATAATTTTCATGTTTTAAATGTCAATGTTTTTTTTTGTAAATCATAATGTAAATTATATGCAAAATTATTATAGATTCTCTTCTTAAAATAAAATTGCAAATTATTTGAATGACACAAAAGTATTTAAAACGTACAATTAGAAAAATTAATACAAAGAACCATTGTAGCCTTTCATAATATTCAATATACAAACATAATTTTAATTGTTTATATAGAAATAGAAATGTAGACAATTTTTGATTTATTTTTTTTAACTTAAGATTAAAAATGCAAACATTTTGATTTATTTTTCTTCTCAATTCAAGACTAGAAATCTAAATATTTCGATCTATTTCTTCTTAATAAATTGAATTGTAAAAAAGTGTTATGATAATACTTTTACATTTACACAATAATACAATTAATATAAATTAAGTAATATATAAGTTATATATAAGTTTTATGATATTATTAAGCTTTCAAATAAGAATTATTTTAATTTTCTTTAAATATTATTACATTTTTTACAAATTTTAATAAATTATTCATAAAAATGTTATACATATTATAATGTAAACAATGTTTTATTCATCGAAACTTATAGAAAAAATAATATCTGATAAAATTAAAAACTTCTGATAAAATTAAAATCAATTAGCAAATATATTGTAAAAGTATTAAATATATTGTAAAGTATTTATTCACTTGAAAATGAATCGTTTTCAAATTAAGATTAATAAATATACAAATATATAAATATAAATTTGTATATTACATATTTATATCTTTTAAAATTACAAAACTGAAATATATATATATATATATATATATATATATATATACTATATTTTATGATATTACTTATACTACGATTTTATAATTTTTAACGATAATATCATTATCATTATCATGTATTATATACATATTTTAACATCAAAATATGTATACAATAATATTAATAATAATGTTATCGTCGTTAATAAAAGTTATAAAATCGGAGCATTGTACATATTGTTAGAAAGCATTCATAATAATCTGCATAATAATAGTAATGTGAATAAGTATATGTATATGTGGTGTGTGTCTATTAATTTAATATAACAATTTATTACATTATAAACTTATAATTTATTATATTGTGGTATTATGGTAAACTTACCTCAACAAAGTTCTGTTGAAAGTGAATTTTAATCGTGTTCTTATATTCAATTGCGTAACACTTAAACGTGTTCTTAATCGCGTATTAATACTTGTGCACTTAACGCGTATCAACACTTAAATGTGTATTTAATAATTAATACACTTAATCTTACTTATTCTTTCGACGCAGTCAAACTGGAAATAGCAAGCTCTCATTAATACAACGAAATCGTTATCTTTTACCACATCATGTAGTATATACATAGGCATAATAGACATACCATAGATCAGGAATGTCAAAGGTACGACCCACGGACTAGACGTTTGAATCTTTACCATAGATGCTATTTACGTTTTGGAGTGAGTTAAAAATACTTCTATGTTTGATAAAACGAGAGAACCTGCATACAATACAAATTATTACAATTACATTGTAGGAATGTCTCTGTAATGTTTCATTGCAATTTTGCAAGTTGCAATGAAACATTACAAAGACATTGCAAAGAACAAATCTACAAATTGCCAACACAGTTGCAAGATAACGTAAAAATTTGAGAAAAATTTTTAAATTAAAATTTTACAATTATATATTTTTAAAATAAAATCTATAGTTATATATAGGATATATACAAACTATAGATAATAAACTAAACTATTCAATTTTTACTTATTTTATATCCTTATAATTGTTTAAATATTACAAAATCATTTTATATAAAAAAGTAAGTTCACTTAAAGAGCTTTATTTAAAAAAAAATGAAATTTTTAATCTTTAAATCTCTAAAATATAAAACTTTTACTTAAAAGTTATAAAAGTTATAAATTTTTACTTATAAGAAATAAATATAATATATAATTAGCATCTGCTCAAAATCATTCAATTTTTTTATATGTAATAACTATTCATATAACATATTATATAATTTTTTACAAATTAATAACTCAAGTATATAATAACCATTGAGAAACTATATAAATTAATAAATTCCTCATACTATATAGTACATTCCAATAAATAGAAGACATTAGAATAAATAGGAGATGAAAATCTAGATTTCATTCTATATCTTCTTAAAAAATAAAATTGAAAAAAGTATTATAATTACTTTTAGATTTTGTATGATGCAACAAAAATATTGATTATATACGCTGTATATATAATTGTGTAATATAATAATAATAATAATAATGAAAAATCTATTAGTATGATTGAGTAAACACAATAGACACAAAAATAAAAAAAACTATAAATACACTGTATAAAATTATAATATGTAATACAGATGTACAAAACATGATATTGTGTTAGAAATTTATTATAATGAAAAAGTTGCCGAACACCAAACGAAAAATAAGTTCAATATTAAGACAGAAAAATAACGTCAAAAACTCAGCTGGTTTGTTTTTAATTTGAACCATTGAGAAGAATGTGAAGTAAATCAAAATGTACAGAGCGCTCTATTACTTCAATTTGAATAATTGAAATATATTTGTATCAGAACATGTGAATGATTTCAATTATACTTTTCTTTATTTAATATAGTATTTATGTACTTATTTTATATAATATAATTTATATATTATATAAATGTATATTTGCTTTACACACGTTATACATATTTAAATGAAGCATTTGTTGATATATAAAATCAAAATTAAATTTGTTTATTCTATAAAATTTAATATTAAATTTTATTGCAATACTTTAATTATTTCGAAATTAAGATATAATAAGTATACAAATATATAAATATAAATTTTTGTACTACAAATGTATATCTTCTAAAATTATAAAACTGAAAAAAAATATATATATATATATATAAATTTTATTATATAAAATTTGTACATATATTAAATAAATTATAACAAATTGTAATATTACAAAGACCTTTGAATAAGAAATATTATCAAATATTTTACCTTATATAAAAATTAATAGTTTTTGTCAAAAATTTTTTTAAAATTAATAATTTATTAATTATTTATTATTAAACATCGATTAAATTATGTAAATTGAAATTTGCACTTAATCTTTTAATGATATAATAAATCAAATATAAAAATTAACAAACAGCTATTTAAATTGTAATCATATTTGATAATAAATTAATTAATAAGTTTATAATTTATAAAAAATTTTTATTAAAATATATTAATTTTTATATAAAATATAAACGGGAAAATATTTGTTGATGTTTCTTTTTATTCAAATGAAGATCTTTATAATATTACATTTTATTATCTTTTATTTGATATATATACAAATTTTATATAAAAAAATTTATATATATTTTTTTTTCAGTTTTGTAATTTTAAAAGATATAAATATGTAATACATAAATTAATATTTATATATTTGTATATTTATTGATTTTAATTTGGAAACAATTTAGTTTCAAGTGAATAAATTCTTTTACAATATATGCTAATTGATTTTATCAGGATTCTTTAAATTTATTAGATTATATTATTTTTTTATATGTTTTCATGATAAATAAAGCATTGTTTATTTCATAATATGTATACTATTTTTATAAATAATTTATTAAAATTTTTAAATATGTAATAATATTTATTTAAAGAAAATTAAAATAATTCTTATTTTAAAGCTTAATAATATTATAAAACTTATATATTGTATTACTTAATTTATATTAATTATTATTATTGAGAAAGGAGTCATAAACTAAAATATTGCAATAAAATTCAATATTAAATTCTATAGAATCAATTTAATTTTGATTTGATATAATAACAAATGTTTCATTTAAATATGTATAACGTGTGTGAAGTAAATATGCAATTATATAATATGTAAATTATATTATACAAAATAAGTATATAAATACTATATTAAATAATGAAAAGTATAATTGAAATCTTTCACAGTTTCTGATACAAATATATTTCAACTATTCAAATAGAAGTAATAGAGCTCTATACATTTCGATTTATTTCACATTCTTTTCAATAGTTCAAATTAAAAACAAAGTAGCTAAGTTTTTGATGTTATTTTTATATTTTAATATTGAATTTATTTTTCGTTTGATGTTCTACAACTTTTTTATTATAATAAATTTACAATATCATGTTTTGTTTTATACATCTATGTTATATATTATAATTTTATGCGATAGTATATTTATAATTTATTTATTTTTATGTCTATTGTGCTTACTTAATCATACTTATAATAATTTTATTATTATTATTATTATATACACAGTTATATATACAGCGTAATCAACATTTTTGTTGCATCGTACCAAATGTAAAAGTATTATAATACTTTTTTTTACAATTTAATTTATTAAGAAGAAATGTCTAGATTTCTATTTTCATTTATTGTAATGTACTATATAGCATGAGATATTTATTAATTTATATACTTGAGTTATCAATTTGTAAAAAATTATATGCTATATGAAAAGTTATCATATATAAAAAAATTGAATGATTTTAAGCAAATGCTAATTATGTATTATATTTATTTTTTATAAATGAAAATTTATAACTTTTACAAGTAAAAGTTTTATATTTTATAGATTTGAAGATTAAAAAT